ACATTGCTGTATTACAACTCTAGTTCTGCATTATAAGTCTAGTCGATCCTCACATTACCAGGAACTTCCCCCGCTTTCCCTTTTATTACATTTTATAGATGAGGAGACTGAAGCAAGAAGGTGTCAGGTAACTGGTCCAGGGTGGCGATGCTAATACGGTAGACTAAGCCTTAAATCCAGGAAGCCCACCTCTGGCTCCCACTCTTAGTCAGTAGAGAGAGACTGTTTCTCTCTTAACTAAAACAGCAGAAATCATCTCCTTGGCCAGCGCTCTGTAAATGCAGTGTCTTTACTTCACTTGGAAACCATTTATGGAATCAATAAAACTGTTTGGTTGTGTCTGATTCTTAAAGGTAGTGGGAGATCAATAACAACATGAGGTCTTTGCAAAGTGGATGTGTCATTGGCGAGTAAACAGGGCACCTATTAGCTCAGGATTTTCTCTTCCCACGTCCTGTGCTCCCTTCAGTCCTGGAGCCTGAGAGGTCTTATCACAGCTGTCACCAGGCCATCAAGAACAACCAATGCAAACACCGTCTCTCCTACTTGGAGTCTCAAGTCTTGGTGAGTTCAGGGGTAGGTAGACTCTGACTGCCTCAGAAGTCTACACGATAACTTTTGACAGAGAGAGTCTTCAGAGACAGGACAAAAAGACATGACTGTTGGAGCACAGTTGTGAAGAGCAGACTCCAGCCTCATTCTGGTTGGTTCTTACTCCCACCTGCCCCTGGGAAGCGGGAGAGCCACCAGGCACAGCACAAAGCCCCACTGTAAGGTTTCAGGGGTAAGGGTCAGCACCTGGTTCACCGAGAAAGATAGCAAGGTCTCTTTAACTCTTTCGTTCTAGAACAATTTTCAAACTCATGAAAGCTGGCAATACCTTCCTGTAGACCTTATCTTCTACTGCAGTTTACATACTGTACAGACAGCATGTGAAGGAGGGTCCACTTGATCATTTCTCCCCCAGTTCCTCAGAGCCGGCCCTGACGCCCCTTGGAATGCAGAACTAGGGAAATAAGACCTTGGTGAAAGTCTGGAGACCTAAGCATAGCCCCAGCTCGGCCACTAACTAGCTGAATAACTGTAAGCAAGTCATTTAACTTCTTTGTTACTGTTTTTTCTCCACTATTACCTGGAAATAGTGATCTAATTACCTTGCTGGGCCTTAAGAGTATTATTTCAATGTATCTTCAATGCATCTGTTGTATATTTCCCATGTACAAAAAATCAGGGTGCTTCGACAAGATGAACAGGACAATAGGCATAAGAGCCATTATAAACACAGGCCTCCGGGAGCCTGAAATGGGGAAGACTGGGGGCTTATGTGGAGGTCCATCCTCCCCTTAACCCACCTGCCAGGTTTTACGATCACTCACTGCATGGCATATGGACAAGCAACATGGAGTGAGAAAAAATATGAGGTAAATAAATGATGCAGAGCTGGGCTTTTTTTTTTTTTTTTAGACTAGGCTTTGTGGCTCTAGAAGCGAAGGGGAAAAAAAGCATCACCTTGTTGTCCACGGCTGGGGACACCCCATATGCCCATTCTTCAGGTCATGGCATCAGTTAAATAACATGAAAATCACAAAGAAAGAAAGAAACCTAATTTTTAAAATGTGAATAAAAATCCCAATATGACTGCAAAAGGGCATGAGGAAACATTGGGAGTCATGACCATGTTCTGTATCTAGATCGTGGTAGCAGTTATACAGCTGTATACATCTGTCACATTCAGCAAACCATACAGTTTAAAAGGGTAAATTTCATATAAGTTACACATCCACGAATCTGACTTTTAAAAAATCTCAATGATATGCTTTACCAAATTCAGGATTTCCAGGCAGAATTCCATGCAGAAAAATCTCTCTGGAAGAATGGATGACCAGTCATTAACAATGGCCAGGTAGATTAGGGGACAAACTGAAAAGACTTCTTTTCACTGGACCTATTTTGTAGCATTTGAATTTTTAAAATGTGTACATAGTATCTGCTTAGACAGAGAGAGTGAGAGAAAGAGAAGGAAATCGAAAGAGAAGAAGGAAGAAAGGAAGGAAGGAAAGAAGAAAGGGAAGGAGGGAAGGTGGAAGGAAGGAAAGAAGGAAAGAAGGAAGGCAGGTCCTCAGATTTCTTTTTCGTTCATACATAGCCCATTATAAATCCTAGCTATGCCACCCACAAGTCATCTGACTCTGGACAAAATGTGAAATGTCTCTGAGCTCGGTTTTCTCACCCATAAGATAGGTATTTCAGTGCCTACTTACAGGGTGGCTCTCAGATGAAACAAGGCCATGCCATGGAAAGGTCTGAGCACGGTACATAGCAACGGTACATAGCAACGGTCCGTTCTCTCCGCATGTGAGCTATCATTCATAACAGCACTGACAGCGAAGATCTATATTTAAAAAGAAGATCTGCAGCTCAACTTCTTTCCTTTATGTATTTTTAAAAAACAGAAGACGTAAGTAATTATCATCCATTGTGTTTGCAGATCAGAAATTTGGCTATGAGAGTTGAGTACTGTACTAATAAAAATACAGTGTAAAACACTCCAGAACTTTTTCATTCACTGCCTTGTTTGACTTGGAGTGGAAAAATTATTTCAAGAATTTTCATTCCTTAGTATAAAGAAGAGATGATGGCACTAAGTGGAGAAATGGAACCTAAAATGTTGCTCTTCGTGTCTGCTGAGAAGAGAGATGCTTAAAAAGCAGACATTCCCTAGGATATTTTAGAAGACAAAATGCAAACAACCCTGGAACATTTTAAAAGACTCTGAAATCACGCAGACATCTGAGTCATCAGCTGTGCTGGATTTCTTGAGTTGTACAATGAGAAATTGCCTTTAGGGTGATTATCTCACCTCAAAAGAAAGAGTCTGATAATGAGTAAGAGGGAAAATATATGAATATGGGCCCATGATTCTCACCTGAGTTGAAATACACTGAAAACTGAAGTCATTAATATCTTAAAAGCTTATCGTAATATATATATCCTACTTGCAGGTCATTTATCAATGTTGTCCCTTTTGGATGAAATAAACTCTTCCACTGTGGATGAGTCAGTATTCGAAAGGGGGAAAAAGGTTCATAGATAATAGTAAACATGTCTGGATATTCTACTATTAAACATTGATTTCTTTGGCTTAGCCTGGGCCTTTTTAAAAAAGTGAACTACTTGGGGAAAGTTGACATGTTAAGCCTAGATATCAGGTATGATCGTGCTTAAATGTGATTTAATCTAGTTTTACCTTCCTTTCTAATCCAAATTACGTAGGTAAAATGAGAAAAATGGAGTGTTTACAGGATAAGAAAATAGGATAAAAGAGTGATTTTGGAAAGTGTTGCATTGATAAGATGTACATGCCTGCCTTTACATACTCAGAAGTTGGCACGGGGGGAAGTTGGACAAGAAGAGAGGGAAACTGGCAATAGGGGAAGGACACAGAGACAATGAGATAGGTCTGCAGTGCTGGTGAGAGCCTACACAAAGCAGGAGACACATCGTTTTCCAGAGTTGGGACACACACAGGGATAATGTTAGACCTAGCACTTGTGTTCCAAAAGGACTATTTATTGAATCAGACCTATTTGGAGCTAAAATAACCTTTTTGCAATCTGAATTTACATTCCTGAAATGAAGAGAATATTATTTTCAATCTATCAGCTTTGCAGAAATATTAACAGCACAAGTGCTTTTTACAAAGAGATTCAATGTGGCATTAAATGAAAACCTGGAGACACCTAAATAATCCACCAAACAGAGGAATGGTTTAATTAGTCATAGAACATAATCCATATTATGGAATTCTAGAAAACTAAAAGGTGTGTAGTATATCAATATGTATTGTCTTAGTTACAAGGAAAAGTAAACGTGGTTGGATAAAAAAAAAAGGCTTCCAAATAATACTTATAGTCAGGTCGACAATTTGCACTGAAAGATGGATGAGCAGATGGAAGGCTAGATGAAAAGACAGATGCACAGAGGCATGGATGGAGGAAGGCAGGGAAGAAAGGAGGAAGAGAGCGAGGGATAGGGAAAG